CACTCCCCACTCCCCCAGTGCCTGCTCTCCTGATGCCAGAGTCCTGGCCCTGCAGGTCCTCTCCTGGGGGAACAAGAGCCAGACACTTGCTAGGCAGCCATCAAGGGAACATTCCATCAAGTGAAGAGCCTCCTGACCCCCCGCCCCCAGGTGAACCCAGTCTGTCTAACCTCCTCCTTCCTGCAATTTCCCCTTCCCTCCCTCCTGGGATCTGTGCTTCCCAGGGCTGGTGAGAGAACTATGCCCTCCCTGTTCCCTCCCTTCCAGGGAGCTCTCCCTCCCTAACAGAGGGAAACACAGCAGAGGGGATGGAGGGCCAGAGGGAGGATGCTCTTAGGCCTGGCCGGCCCTCGTCAGATTCTGGAGCAAGCTGCAGCCCGTCCAAGCCCTGGCTCCCAAAGGGCCTGTAGCGGACCATGCAGCCTTTACTAGTCCCAGCTCCTCCCTCCTGCAGGGACAGATGCTGTGCAGACTTGGGGCTCTGCCTCCCGGGAGCAGTAGGCCACAGTGGACTCTATTTGTTCCTGTATGTCTACTCTTTTAGGCAGAAAGAAGTGGTGGAGAACAGGAAGTGCAATAGGGCCGTCTTACCAGAAGCCAGCCTCCTCCAGGCCGACTTGGCACTGGCACCTCCGCAGCAGAAGTTGTCATCAGTGGTTCTAGCTGTCCATATCAGCTCTCCAGGTCCTTCCAAGGCTCCAAGGACCACAATCCTAGCTCAGATGGCACAGGCCTGAAGGAGCCAAGAACTTAACCCTATCCGAACCAAGGGGCTCCAGCCCCCAGAGCACCTGCTCCTCTACCCCAACAGGGACTCTTTGAACAGCAACAGGGCAGCTAGAGGATGCTGGGGGCTGGCCCACGTGGCCTCCTCCCAGGCACGCGTCAGGACTCCTTTACCCATGCAGACTTGGACTCAAGGACTCAGGAAAGAGCCTCCTGACCTCCAGGAGTCGCGATCTCTTGGGTCCAGAATGGGCCCAGCAGGGCACAGAGCATCTGGGAAGCCCAGGCCCAAACTGATGCCCTGAGGAGGACTTTGTGTGAGTCAGGAGCAGCATGTGGGCTCCAAGCCACCTCATGGAGTGGATACAAATCTGGGCGACCACTAAACAGGTCTTTGTGGGAGTGCAGAATACTCCTCCATGACCAGGAAGCAGGAGCACAGCCTGTCTGGATGCCACCCCTAGTCAGGCAGCAGATAGCCCAGCACATGGATGACAGAAAGGGGAGGAGAAGGGTACATCAGGGCCAGAGAGGGCCAGAGGAAGACAAGATAGTGGCAAGGGGAGGTGGAGGGTACAGAACAGGGCTCCCTTAGGGGTAGGGGTGTTGGAATTCAGGAAGTTACTGGGCTGTCCAGTTCTACCTGCCTTTACCTTCCCGCTGCTTCAGGGCTCTGGGCCAGGCCAACTCTGGCGCAGGCAGAGAGAGACTCCAGCATCCGCAGCTGTGGTTCCCCAGCTCCCCCTGGTTCTGGGTGCCCGACCAGCTGGGCTCAAGCTGTCTCAGCTCTGTGCTTCCGATGTGGAATGAGGCCAAGACGGCATAGCCCCTGGCTCCTGGACTTCTCTCCCCAGAACACTTTGCCAGTCCCTAGCAGTCAGGGGGCCTGGCTCTGCCACTACACTCTGGAGGTGGGCCAGGTGTCTCTGTCCTGCTCTCTGCTTCCTAAACCTGTCACCTGTCCCCAGCAATCTTCCAGCCACAGCTGTAGACAAACGGGAAACCCCAAGGTCTAGGGCTTTGGGGCAGCCAAGGGACAGGGATCCAGGCTGTTGAAGTGACCAGGACCCTTGGGAGAGGTCCCAGCTTCACAGCCCAACTGTTGTCTCAACTTCTAAACCAGAAAGGTGGATGCCCAGGTCTCCTCTTTATTCCCTTTCCTTAGCCCACAAAGTCATGAGCCTAATGGCAAACTTGGAATCTAGCTGTATCACTGGGTGGCTGTGTGACTCTGAAAGAGTTGCTCACCCTCTCTGAGCCTCAGGTTCTCCATCTGGAATCCTGGAATGAGGAGAGCATCTGGTATGGTTGTGAAGAAGGAATGAGGTGACCTCTGAGGAAGGCCGGCCCCTGTGCCCATTGAATAGTAGATTTTTTGGGGGTTTTTTTGGTACCAGGAATCGAACTCAGAACCTTGCATTTGCCAGGCAGGCATTTGTACCACTGAGCTATATCTCTGGCCCAGCAGACTCTTAATAAGGGGCCCGCCTTCTTTTCTTCCTTCCTCTTTGAGACAGTTTTCTCTCCTCCACGGCACTATTGCCTGGTGGTAAGGAAACCTCCGGGTGCACTGGTTTCCAGCTCAGCACCGGCTGCTCCTGCCAGGGGGCAATGCTTGCCCCACAGCAAGGAGGGCCTTGTGGGCAGCAAGGGACACATTTCTGGCCAGCTGGTAGCCTTTCTGGGTGCCTCCCAAGTTACACCCTGTACTTGACTGTCCTTACGCACAAGGCTGATTCTGGAATCTGTGAAATGATTTGCTGCTCCAGTTTTGCAAAAATAGTAGAGCCTCACTTGGAGAGTGGGGGAAGAGGGTAGCCAGATGTTCCCCCCAGGGAACCCCAAGGCCCCTACCCCAGCCCCCTGCCAACTAGAGCAGCCATTTTGCCCTCCTTCATTCCAGAACATCTGGTTCCAATCTCCCCCAGATGCTGGGGCCATGCTGTTTTACGGCCAATCCCCTCAGTTTGGCTTCTTGAAGCCCTCCTCCATTTTGAGGGTCAGCCTTTTCCTCCCTATCCTCAGGACCCCAGCAACCTCTCTTCCTAACACAGAGAAGAGACACGTTCCCAGAACAGACACAGTTGCCAGGGTGCTCAGAGCTGAGCCTTCACTTTCTTCTGCTCTGCAGGCTGAGGCACCACCCACCCAGGACCCAAAGGAGAGATGCTGGCCTGGGAAGAATGAGTGGGCAGGGGAGTGTGGGCATGCATCTGAGCAGAGGAGACTGTGGGAGGGAGGCACGTGAGTCTTGGAGCATGTGTGCAGGCATGTGCTAGTGTGTTTGTGCCTGCACAGTAGGACACCCCCCTGTACCCCGAGCCTCACTTTCTCACCCAGTCTGTACTGGCAGCAAAACTAGCTCAGGTCCCTTCGACTGTAGCTGCCAAGGTCCAGGGCTGCCCTCACCTTGGAGCTCTCTAAGGTCCCCGAGGCTTTCTCTAAATCTGGGACAAGGAGAGTGCATGCGCCTCAAACAAGGACCTTTCCTTCCACTGGGTGAGATTAGACTCCAGGCCAGAAAGGACCTCAGAATGGAATCCGACCCCACTCGGATGCTCTGACCCTGCTCCATCTGACAGGTGCTTCAAGTAGCCCAGCACTGGCCATGTGCCGGGGTGTGGCCATCTGGACGGAGGAAAGAGAAACAGGCCCTCTGGTGAAACCCTGCCTCTGTACGGAGCCCATGCCTCTGGTCATTGCCTTTGTCCCCAAGTTAGAGGATTCTGAGAGCCAGTACCACTTCCCAAGAAACCTAAAAAGGTTGTCAAAATCAGACCAAAGCCTGACTCTATGGAGGACTCTGAAAAGCCAGACCTGCTCAGAGATGAGGCCTCAGATGCTTGAACGGCTCCCTAGCCTCCTTCGGGGCGTTCCTGGCTCCACAGCACCCCCTGGTGTTATGCTGGAACTACACACAGCCTTGGTTGGGGAAGACAGGAGAGGACGCACAGAGGGCCACTGTGTCTGTGAAGGGCCTCTCTGGCTTATGTCTTACTACTGTCCAGGGTGATGTTGGTATACACTAGGGGAGCCAAGAACAGGGCAGCAAAATGGGGCTGGGTTTTCTGAATGAAACCCCAGGCACTGAGGCTTGCTGGCATACAATGTGGGCAAACCTTTTAACTTCTTTGTGTCTCAGTATCTTCATCTGTTAAGTGGAACTAATAGCACCCCAGGCCCTTATGCAGACTTACAGGACTGATGCACATGGAAGTGCAGGCCCAGGGCTACACACAGTGGGACCTCCAGAAGCTGTCGCCTGCCCTTTGGCTTTCCTGTCTTTCCCGAAGAGGCCTCACCCTGAGGTCTGAAGACATGTGAATTTGGCCCTGACGCAGACAGTGTTGGTAAGGTGCCTCTGACATTTCTGGAACATTTCCAGTCCAGCCAAGGACCATTTTAATAAGGCCATAATAATAGATGCAGAGGTGACTCAGCCCTGCTGGGGGAAGGGCCACCCCAGCTGCAACAAGGAAAACCAGTGGCCTTTGGGCTGAAGCTGGCAGGCTGCAGCAGTGGCAAAGGCCCAACAGGGCCCCAGATCGTCGCAGCCCTTCCCTTGGGACTTGGTGTCTCCACGGGGCAGTGCAGGGAGGCACAGATGACCTCCAGAGTACTGTCCAAGCGGGAGACGAGGCTGTGCAGGGTCTGGATATACCCAGAAGGGCGGCTCCATCGGAGAGAGCTCCTGCGTGGATTATGCAACCTGCCCTCTCCACCCCTCCAACTCAGCCCCAGGAGAAGTTGCTATGGCCGCTGCGCTTGTCTCCTCCCACTACAAATTCATTTTTTGAAAATTTAACTCCCAAGATGGCATTAGGGTGTGAGGCCTTTGGGAGGTGATCAGGTCAGGAGAGTGGAGGCCTGTGAGTGAGCATAGTGCCTTTATCGAACAGGCTGAGGGGCCGGCATGGTGGCACAGAGCTGTAATCTTAGCTACTAGGGAGGCTGAGACAGGAGAATCAGAAATTTGAGGCCATCCTGGGCTATACAGTGAGAACTTGTTTCAAAATAAAAACATGGAAAGAGCCAGGGATCCTCAGTAGAATTTCCAGTACAAGGACATGGGGCAGTGGAGCTGAGGGAGCTTGTTAGCCCCTCCCACCATGTGAGGACACAGAAAAAGGCGGCTCTCCACTCCCCAGAAGACAGGTCCTTGGCAGACATCCAACCTGCTGTCGACTCCACAGACTTGGAGCTCTGTGGTTCCGAAGCCACCTGGTCTGTGGTATTTTGTTATGGCAGCCTGGATGGACCAACACAGGCAGGGCCTCAGGCCATGTGGTTTATTGATGTATATCGCAAGCACAGCACAGGCGGATGTGCCCCTGCCCGGGAGGACGCTGGGCTGGAGAAGAGCAGCAGACCACCCCAAGCACTGCCATTCGCACAGGGTGGGGAGGGCCTGCCGACCACATCCTCTCCCTTACCACAAGTCTCCTAGAGGCCTCAGCCTCCCAACCATCCCCAGCCTCAACCCACCACAGCACTGCTCCTGTCCCTGCACCCAGGGAGAGCCTCGTTGGCCTGCCAGCCACTCTGTCTTTCATCACACAAATCCAGCTGTGTATCTACCAACCCTGTCACTTCTGTGAAAGTCACAGTGGTGCCACCCTGTGCTGCTTCCACCAGCACCTCCCTGGTCCCCCCATCCCCTGCTTTGCTTCTCTTGGCAGGGCAGGGGAGTTCACCAGCATCATGACCTGTACAACAAGAGGAGAAGGTGAGAACACAGGAAGCCCAGAGACGGCGTCACCCAGTGCGCCCAGGGAATGCCTGGCAATGGCCAGTGGGCAGGTGCAGGGGCTGGACTGGCCCAGAACCCAATTGATTCCCACCCGGTGCAGAGCAGCACTGCACCGTGGCAGAGCAGGTGAGCGAAGCACACAGCCAGGTGAGGTGCCAGGGCTCTGCAGGTAGCCTTCAGATCTCAAGTTCCACATCTCTTGGCCATGTCAAGTGAGGTCTGGCTGAGGACGGGGTCTCAGGGGTCTTCTTCCCCCTCCTGGACCCCAGTAGCTACTGTTCCAGACCCCTGTGCTCTCTGAGCCAGGGAAAGTTTTGCTGGGGGATATATCATCTCCAGCCAGAAGAAAGGAAAAGCCCGACAGCCTGCAGCCCCAAAGCCAGGAGACAAAGGGGCTCCCTCTCTAGAGAGCAGGGCGACATCTGGAGTGGACAAGTGGAGGAGGGGAAGGACAGCTCTCCCATGCAGGAAGAGGGTTCTCATGGGCAAGGGGCAGCCAGGGCATGACAGCGGTGCGGGAGGTTATTTATAGAGGGGAGAGTCCCAGCCTGGAGTGGGAAGCCCCAGGCCCAGCTCAGCAGGGAGGGGGCTCTCTGGAGTGGCCCTGAGTGGGGGTGGGGCTAAGGAGATGGTGCCCCACAGCTCTCTGCATCTCTCTGGAGGCAGCCAAGCTACATGTGGGCTTCGGCCCTGAGGGGCTTCCCCAGGAGAGCCTGGGGGCAGACAGGATTCTAGGAAATGGAGGCTTGGATAAGGCAGAGATCAGGAAAGGAAAGCAGAGGAAAGGAAGGGGAAGTTCTCCAGAAATCCCGCCTATCCACGGACCTCCTGAGGCTGAGAAGCCCTTGCAAGTCTACCAGGCCTGGGGTGGGCCACGTTTACCAAGAAGACCACCCTCGGTTGCTTCCAATGCCAAGGGGTGGGGGTGGGGTGGACAGATGGACCCAAGGGAGCAGGGGGCAGGGGAGAGAAAGCCAGCTCCCTAAACCTAAGCCACCCTCCTGCCATCTCTCCCTGACCCCCAGCTCCCCAGGAGTCCCTAGCGGCCCACGCTGATGTTGCAGGTCTTGCAGCTGGGGTCTTTCTTGGCGTCAGCAGTGGACAGGCTCATGAGCTGGTGCCCGCTGATCTCTCCCAGGGTGCCCAGGGACAGGTCGACAGGTTCAGTGTAGATGATCTCCAGGATGAGGTCCTGGGCATGGCGGAAGACCAGCTCCCCATCCTCCACACTGCAGGTCAGGAACTTGTTGCAGGCAATGTCCAGGAGGGGCAGGCGGTCGCGGCAGAAGCGATCCCCCAGGGAGCCCTTGGGTGCCAGCACCAGGATGGCATAGTGGTAGGCCGTGTACATACAGTAGAAGTCTGCAAAGTACAGGTTGGTGCTGGGGTTGAAGAGGCGCTGGGCGGGAATCTGGAAGCGCCAGCGCCCGTAGGGTGAGTCCTGGGGGGGCTGGCCTGTATTGAACTCAGTGTTGCAGCTGAAGAAGACGCCATGGAGCATGCCGCTGGTGGGGGAGCCGTGGCTGCCGCTGTTGTCCTTCAGGTAGGGTTGCAGCATGTTCCCGCAGTGGGTCCTGCCCCGCAAGGAAAGTGCCCCCAGTGAGCGGAGCCAAGCCAGAAGTCCCAGATGCAAGAGCAGGGGAGGGCTCTAGAGAGGAAGTCACCCTGCTCTCCCTCTCCTTCCCAAGAAGACAGCTGAATCTGCCACACCCATCTTTAAAAGCCCTCTGGTGGGGCTTGATCAGGATTAGCAAGAGAGACAGCATCCCGTCTTTCTGGTCCAACTATCACTTTCCACCTCCTACCACCCAACAGGTGACAGCCACACCCACTCTCCTGCTTCCCTACCTTTGCATCGTGGTTCCCTCTGCCTGGCCTGCCCTGCCTACCTTCTCCTCCTGGCTTCATAGACTCCTAATCATCCTGCAAGGGCTAGCTAGCATAGGGGCTCTTCTTTTCTTTCAGGAACATGGAGCACTTACAAATACTCAAAAAAAAAAAAAAAAAAAATTGGCTGCCTGCTACATGAAGGACCCTGAATTTTGCTCCGTGATCACACATATTTAGACATAAAATCCTTTCCTACTGATCAGATGCTGAGGTTCTCGAAAGGGTGACCTGGCTCTTTGTAAGAAGCAGGGAACACAGGGACATTCCCTGTCTCTCTGAATGGCAAGTGAGCCTAAATAGGACCCCTGCCTCTGTTCTTCAATATAGACACTAAGGACCCACAAGGCCCCCACTACCCACCCCAGCTGCCTGTAATGATAAAGTCAGTGATAGGTGCATCTGGCCCGGCCTGGCCTGGCTTAGAAGGATATGGATGGGAAGCAATGGCCCCAGACCCAGCAGAGGGTGCACAAGCGCTGGCCCTGGCTGTTCTGAGTGATGTGGGCCTCACTGGCCTAACTAGCCAAATGATGACCCTCTGGACCTCAGGATCTTTGTCTGTAGGCCAAGGTTATTGGGTGGCATCACAAATTTTAAAACATTTTTGGGCTAAAGAACCCTTTTCCCCCATGGGGATGTGTGCACAGGCTGGTCACAGGCAAGTATCATTGAGGCTGCTCTGGCTGATGGTGGGAAGCACCCCTGCCCGGATTTTGCCACCTCAGACCCTCAGTGGCACCCTAAGGTGTTTCTCAAGATGCCTTCCTGGAGCATCCAGGGGCCTCAGCACCCAGGTTGAATGCCAGCAGGTTGGGTGTTCCCTGGAGCCCTTCAGGCTTGGGATTCATTCTACATTCTCCTCTTCTCCTCTGTGGTTCCAGGTCTTGAACTAGAGAACCAGCTGCCCCATGGTGGTGGATCTCATGAAGAAACTGCCCAGAGGGATCAAAGTGGGACCCTGTTCCTCCAAGTCTGTTAGCTCTGTACTCCGCCAGGCAGCCCTGTCTCTGAAGCCTTGATTTTCTGTGAATCTAGTGAACCCCCAGTGGTCACTGCTGAGACAGCCTGGAGGGGTGAGGACAGGGGGACCTCAGAGGAAGACCTAGCAGCCAGAGAGACTAGGGTGACTCAGGACAGCTAGGACAAGAGGAGGAGGAGCCCAGGGAGGAAGGTGAGGCCAAGGCCACCTACCTGGCATGCTGGAAGTACTCCTTGTGATGATTGCGGTAGAAGACAGAGAAGCGGAGCATGCGGCCGGCAATCTGCTCGGCCTTCTCCTGCAGCTGGGCCAGGTGCTCCTTGGCATAATCTGTGGGAGTGCGGGTGGGGTGAGGTGAGTTTGAGCCAGCTGCAGGATTACAGCCTCATCCTTTCCCTGTACCCCAATCTACCTCTGTTGTGCCTGCCAGCTGACCTAGTCCTCTGGAGCAGCAGGGGGCACCACACAGCCGCAGCAGAGGCTTGGATGCAGATCAGAACAAGCCAGCTCGCCTTGGCTGGGAACACAGAGAGTTGTGTGCTATCTGTCCTCGTTGCCTCTATGCTCTCATTGGCAGAGGCTCATGGCTGCCCTGGATCCATGAAGAGTAGGGGGCTGCCCTGTGACCATGCCCAGGGGGCTGTCATCACAGCCCACGCTCATATGGAAAGATATCCAGAGGCCAAAGACAGACGTGAGAGGGTTGGATGCGGGTCCTTTGGCAGGGCGCCCCAAATCCAGCAAGGGGGTGAATTCTTCCAAATCAGAGAACTGAAATGGACCCCACATTCGTGAATGTTAAGGCAGTGTGTACACCTGTCCGTCAGGGCTGGAAAACTAGGTCTCCACTTGAGCCATTTTGCAGAAATGGGGAAAGTTGGTACCAGAGCCCAGAGGCAGCACCCTGCACTCCCTAACCCAGCCTGAGCTCAGGTAGGGTTGCTTCTAGGCTGGACAGAGCCTTGGTGCAAACTAGAAAGGGGTGACCTTTCCTCATTGCTGATGTGTCCCTGGCTGGGGCACTTGGTTGGGTGAGAAGAGGGTGGACTAGACTAGAGCCACCCCCAGCTCCCACTTTGAATTCAATGCCCATGATATGTGCGGTTCTATAGAAACCAGGAAACCCTTTCCACAAGGAGCAGGAGCAGTGCTGAGTAAGGTCTGCGGCAGCTCAAGGAGACTTGGGGCACAGACGCTGGCAGAGGATGGAGCCAGCAGTCTCAGAGGCCCTGGGGCAGGGAATGTTCCTTCCCCTTCCTTGTGACAGGACAGCAATCTGGAGCAGTTTTCTCATGGACCCTAAAGGAATGATATTTTGTGGGGCAGGTCCCAGGTCAGCAGTGACCCAGCACACACAAGGTCAGAGTACCTTCATGTTTGAATTTTCAATGTGAACTCTGCTAAGAGAGTTTTCAAGGCCACTGGATAAGGATCATTTTTCAGAAAAATGGGATTGTCCCAGCAGTTGTCCACTGCCAGACCACTGATGAACCAAATGTTGATCAACCTCAAGGAGTAAGGAAATTTTGACACCCACATACCTCAAAGACATGACGCTAAGAGAAATAAACCAGTTCCCAAAGGACACATACTACATGATTCTACTTAGAGGAGGCTAGAGTCGTCAAAATGATAAGGATAGGAAGTGGAATGGGCATTTGCCAAGGCCTGGAGGAAGAGGGAGTGGTTGCTGAATGGGGAGTTTCACTTTGACAAGACGGAAAGGTTCTGGAGACTGGCTGCCCAACACTGTGAATGTACTTAGTGCTACTGTACAGGTCAGGAAGGGAGGGTTTGTGTTCTGTGTGTGTTAGTTACCATGTTACTAAGAACGCATGAGATGCAATTCTTTTGGAAAAGTGACTCCACCCCTGCATGGTAGTCTCCTCACTATCGTGGTGAGTGGTGGTGTCTTCACTACACAAAGCCAGGCTGTTTCTCTTCTGGCCCAAACAGAGTATCCAGAGCAGAACACGGGGCTGCGAGCGTTGGCCCCTCTTGGCCATAATTAAGCCAGATGTGGCAAGCGAGCAAGACAAGCGATCTAAGAGCCACGCCTCACCCCCAGTGCAGAACTCCACGGTCTCACTCCAGCCAGACACCAGGTACTCCCCGTCGCTCTGCTTCACGGCTGTCTGCACAGCCACGCTGTACTCTGTGCGGGGGCTCAAGAACCAGTGGCCTCTCACTGTCATCGGCAGTGGCACGGCCTTGGCCACTAGCTTGGTAGGGACATCCTAAGAAATGGGATATGGGAGGAAAGCCCAGAGTTAATTTGGGCGTCACATCCAGTCTCATCCAGAATTCCCACCCACCAAATCACACTCCCGCCCACCCCCAGGAAAGGATCAGCAGTTCAGGGACTAACATCTCTGTGCCCCAGCTACCATTTTCCTACAGAAGCAAGTAGTTGCTTGGGACAGCCACGCAGACCTTCCAGCTTCCCACGCTGATCCCTTGTTCTTTCAGGAACTGAGGAGAGAGGCTACTTAGGAGGAGGCCCCAAAGTTGAAGGCAGCACGACCTCCATTTTTGAGGGAGACTTCAAGAGCTCTGCACACTGCAGTGCCGTCTCCACGGCAACAGCAAATGCTGAGAAGCTGAGGTGGAAGGGAAAATATGCCTTATTCTTTTGGGGGTGGGGAGGGCCTGCTTCAAGGGGGTGGTGTTGAACATTCACGTCACCGTGGCAACTGGCCTGCCAAAAGACACCCAGATCAGGAGAGCCAGTTCCAGGGTGGGGGTAAGTAACCCACAGTGAGGCTGGCCGCCTGGGAGCCTTCCTCTCCCCACCTCATTGTCCCCTGCCTCACCAGCTGGAGAAGATGTGGGCTTCCTCCCACCCGCCCCCACAGTGGCTTTTCACCTACGGAACGGACACACCCGTGAGGGCCCATTGACATTCCTTTTCTAGACTAGAGGCCAGCGGGCAGCTGAGGGGCAGAGTGACAGGGCTTGAGGGGGAACACCAAATCCCTGGCCAAAAGGGCCTGCTCCACGGAAGCCACACTGCCCACCCAGGCAACTAGCCTGCTCCCTGAGGCGTGGCCTTTGTCAGAGCTTGAGATGTCATCCCTCGCCATGTGTGGCATCGTGGGTCCACCCCCTGCCTGGGCACTCAGCCCTGTCTGAAGGCCCAGTCACGGTGCAGATAACAGTGCTCACGCTGTGTCAGGCTGTATGCCAAACACCACGCAAACATTACTCATGGAATCTTCTCAACAAGTCTCTGAGTGTGGCCGTGGTTCTCCCTTTTCATCAGGGACAGAACAGGAGCCAGGAGAGGTCACATCACTTCCCCAAGCTGACGCAGTTTTAAAAACCTGGGTTCCAGGTCAGCCAAATAGCTCAGTGGATTAAAGCACCTGCAAGCAGGGACAGGACCCAGGGGTTCGATCCCTGTGTCTGCCAGGCCGGCCCCACCCCCAGGGCACGCTGAGACGGCAAATGAGACTGGGTGTGGTGGCACATGCCTGTAATCCCAGCTCTTGGGAGGCTGTAAACAGGCAGATCAGTATGAGTGTGATCTAGTAGTGAGACCCTGAACACCCTGTAGACCCTCCCCTAAAAAAATAAAAATAAAAATAAATAAATAAAATAAAATAAAATTAAAAAGCCTGGGTTCTGATCAGGCCTCTGATTCCAACCCATTTTTCCCCGAGATCCATTTTCCTGTTTCCTTCCAGAACAGCATCCTCTACTCACCCGGTGCTTGAACTTGTTGGAGTTCTTGTTCTCTTTCTTGTTGAGGTCGATGAAGTAATGGGTGACCCTCTCCAGGTCACTGTCCTCCATGGCCCAGGAGATGCGGAAGGAGTCGCAGGTGATGTTGTTGATCTCGATGCTGTGGGGGGTAGACAGCAGCTCCATGCTCCCCTCTGGTTTGGCCCCTGTGGGAACTGAGTGTGAGGGGAAGGATCAGTGCTCCCTCCCTCCACGGAGCTTTCTGGAATGTGTTGCACCCAACATCCCTTGCAAGGGATCCTTTAGAACCCAACAGATGCATCTGCCTCATAAATCTTATAGAAAAGATTGTATGGAAAAAATTAGAGTTGAGGGACCCAAGGTGGGGCAGGTGGCCCCTGGGGGACTCTCTGCTGTCCTCAGAGGGTCTACAGAGCAGACGGCACCTGACAGGTGGCAAAGGCAGTGGGAACATTGCAAACACTGGGCAGGGACAGATTTGCAGCAGATGGAGCTGAGGAGGGAGGGGGCTCTCAGCCAGCAGGCGTGAAAAGAGAAAGGCTGGGGGTGGAGAGAATGGGTTAGAGGCGGAGAGGAGGCAGGAAGCACCTGCTGGGGGGCTGAGGGCTAGCAGAGGCAGGTGGCAGATGCTGGCAGCCAAGAGTCCAAGGGGCCAAGCCCCTTGGGCTCAGGCTTCTCACCTCCCTGGGGGTGACTCAGCGAGGGTCCCCATGGTGCAGGGCTAAGAGGACGAGTGCCAGATGGGTGCCTGTGGATATATTTGTAGTGGACAGGGGTGGTGTGGGCCACAGCCGGCTTCAAGCTCTCTCTCCACCTATAACTTTTTTGACAATCACTGTTTCTCTTTTTGCTAGGTATGTACCACCACCCCAGCTTTTGGCGGGTCTTCACTTGGCTTTTTAAAAATAATTTGTTTCATTTTAATAATGATGTCTATTGGGAACCCAAGGGTATAAATAATTTCACAAACATTATCTCACACAAGTGTCATAATAGGTATATACTATTATTGCCCCCATTTTACAGATAAGTTAACTGTGGTTGGGGGGTGCCAAAGGCCATGGTCAGCAAATGATGTGTACTCTGGAGAGCAAGCACTTTAACTTTAAGCATGTGTGTGTGTGTGTGCGTGTGTGCACGCGCGTGTGTGTGTGACATACATGGCATGTGGCCATGTACAGGGCATGTATGTTTCTGGCTGTGTATTTTTCCCCTTTTGGGCAACTGTGTTTTCTCTGACCTGCCTCCTCCACTCCTTCAGCGCTGCCTGACATCTGGTGCCCTCCAGCTGTGGAAGGACTGCCCCACCATCTCTCTTACCTGTCCCTTCGCTGAGAAGAGCTGCGTGGCTTTGCCTATTGCCTGCCCCCCACCCCAGGCTCTGGGTGGAGACAGGTAAGGGGTAGGAGAGGCCCGGATGCGGGTGGACTTTCTCCAGGGCACCCAGTCTCCTGCTCCCCTGGTTCTTTCTTCCAGCTCAGCACTGACACAGCTCAATGCTACCTCCTCCCCTTACCCAGGAGCTAGGGGTGAGGGTACCCTGTGCCTGCGAAAACAGGTACTTTATTTATAGCTTCTCAAAGATCCAGCCCACACTTCCCTGTCAATTAAGACTGCTGTAGAGCCTGGAACCTCTAGATTAACCTGTGGGCTGCCTGGATGGCAGGACCCGGGGGAGGCTATGGATGATGGCTTTTCCCTGCCCTGGGTGTCCCCCAAGTCCTGTTTCTTCTTAGCCACTCGCCCTGCAGTGAGACAGGTTAGCTTCATGAGTGGATTTCTATGGTAAAAAAGCACAGAAGTGCCAAGTCCACCCCAAAATAAAACAGATGGACATAGCCTACAATAATAGACCTGTCTGTAATTAGGGGGACAGGTGTGGTGCAGTGGGGAGTTACCATTTTCCTGGATCCTGGCAGGAAGCTCCCAGGAGACACAGGTATGCCCCTTGCATGCGTGTGTGCACAGACACGCGCGCGCACACACACACACACACACACACACACTCCCACCCATGTGTGACGCAGTCTACACTGGCCCAGCGATCAAGCCACTGTTTCTGCCTTGTTTCCTCCTCTTCTCAGAGTCTTCTAGGGATAGGGGTAGCTGTGTGGTGTGTGGGAGCCCCAGATCTGGCAGCTGCTCATCCGTTCTCGCTCCAGTTCTGGGGGAGCTGAGTTGACTCCCCCACCCTAGCCTGGGAGAGAGGTGTCGACTGGCACCAACAGGGTGGACCAGGGTGGGTGTGAACCCAGCCTCTCGACACCCAGATGCCTTGGGAAAAGCAGGGTGTGAGGGGCAGGTTGGGGCAACACCCTCAAAACACCCACGCTCCTATGTGAATCCACCCCAGGCAAGTGTGTACACACCCACACACAGGCATGCGCACACATAAGTGCTGGGGGTGCCCCCGTGCCCAGCATACACCTCCCCAGCCACCCTCCCTCCCACACTCCCTACCTACCGAGGTACCCTCTGCCTACTTAAGTCCACCCCATGGTTTTTTCCCTCCGCAAACTGCCACCTTCAAGCAGACCAACACATGCTCATGTCCACGGTCTCATGCACACCCACAGACGCAAATCCCTCCTTGCAAGCCATATTTGGGGAAAAGAAGAAGCTGCAGGCACCAACATGCATGTGTGCCACCCCCCCAAGGAGGGCACGCCACCCACATGCCTGCCTGAGCACACATGTGCATCCGCACACATTTCACCTCCCCCAGGGGACCCTGACATCCTTGCCAGAGTTTCCAGGCACAAAGACAGACTTTGAAACCATGTTTGCCTCTCTCCACTCTCTGCCAGCCCGATCCTTCACATGCCAACAGGTTTGCGACCTATGAAGATCTGCCCACACCTCCCACCTGCCCACTCCACCCTGCTCTGGAGTTGCGTCTCCCCACATAGAAAGTGCCTGCTTGCATATACTCCCTCCACATGTACTCCCACCCACAGGACAAGTGACATGTCCACCCCCTAAAAATACTCCTTCGCAGGCACCCTGCCTACGCCTACCCACAGGCTACTCAGAAGCACTGCTCCCACTCACACGTACCTCACACGTGCAAAACAGCTATGTTCCTAGACATGCCAGGAGGCAGCTAAGTCCCCATGGGAGCCTATCTCCACGCAGGCACACCCTATCTACGCACACAAGCCTCTGGCCTCCCTGCAAGGGTGCACACAGGCTGTAACACAGTGCCCCTTGCTCAGCCCCATTCAGGAAAGCCACCTGCATGCCACAGGGAAAGCTCCCCCACCCCCTGTCTCTGCTGGCACCGCTGACTGCAGCAGAATGGTCACGGGGTAACTAACTGTATTGCCCCAGGGACTGGATCTAGCTGTTAAGCCCTTTGCTGAAGGCCTGGGGGAGAGAGGGCAATGTTGACAGGCCTTGCGAATCAGTTCGGCACCCGGGACAGTGACGGATCCCTGGCACCCCCAGATCTTAGCCTTACTTAGGATAGGTAGCCAGATGGCTGGGATGGAGGAGGAAGGGCGCTCACCTGGCTTTCCCGGGCGCGGTAGAGGAAGACCGGGCAGGGAAGGAAGGGAGGACCTCTGTATGAATGAGCTCCCTAGGCAGGGAGACAGCGGCTGGACGCCTGGGTCACAGGCAGAGACTCGTGCTCACTCCTCTCCCGGCTGCCAAGGAGGCAGCTTCCATGCCCCGCAGGCAGCTCCTGTCTGGCTCCGCAGCAAAGGGCTGCTGCTGCAGCAACACGACGACGTGCCCAGCCCAGCCGAGTGCGAGGAGTGGAAGAAGAGAAGCAAGAACGAAATCCAAGCGGCGTGGAGGAGAGAGAGGCAGAGAAGGCGAGCAAGAACGGGAGAGCCAGACCGAATCTGGCTCCACCAATGGGATCAGTGGCTGCACAGCGTCAGGTGATAATCAGCAAGCTTGGTCCCTGCTCACCCAGGCTGGCGGGAGGGGGAGAGGGCAGAGGGTCTCCCAGGGAGCTGCACAGATGTCCTTGGAGGCAGCAGCTGTGGCTCTGCCACCTTTACCCCCGTTCCTCCAGGACAACCGGCCCTCAGAAATCCCTCCAACACACCCCCTACTCGGAAATTTCTGACTTGGGTGCAACCCCCAAACTTTAGTATGCCAGGAAAGGGGTGGAGCTTACCCCAGGGCTTGGGCCCCCAAACAAGGATGCTGACCAGGGGAAGAGGAGGGAGGCTATGGAAGGGAAGGGTCCACATGGGGTGCGTGAGCAGGGCCTCTTTCAGTCTGGGTCCCCTCCTGGCAGCCTTTTACTGATGCATTGCTCCATTTTCTTACCAACTCCTACAAGGAGATCTCAGCCCTGCAGCCCTGGAGACGCCTGGATGTCCACTGAGAGCCCTCTAGCTGATCAGGCGTGCTCAAGGAAAGAAGTCATAGAGCAGAGAAGGCTTCACAGAAGGAAGAATGTGGAGGTGGGAGGACACACAGAGCTTCGAGTGTTCCCATCCCAGCCAGCCCCCAGGGCTCAGGCAAGCCCGGAGCACCTCACCCAGACGCAGTAGTATTGGCAGGAGACATGTCTGCCACCAAAAGGCTAGATCTGTGGATGCCACCACAAGAACACTCAAGGAAACTGGAATCAAGCAGCAAACAGGGACAGAGAATTTGTGCCGTGATGGGAAACGCAAGCTTTGCAGCCAGACAGAAATGGGGACGATGCTGTTGCTCGTCGTCGTCATTGTCATCTTCCAGCTGGGTGACCTTGGACAGGTGACGCCACCTCCTTGGAGCTTCGGTTTCTTCACCTGTCAAGTGGGATGCTAACAGGGGCTCATTGTGATCATGGGATGAGGTCACTATAGGAATCGGCTAGCTTGAGGCCTGGCACCGTCAGAGATGTTATCTTTCCATCATTATTGGCAGAGTCAGCCTGCAAGGAGCCTGCTGTCTTCCAGGGGAGGAGGGATGGACACTTAGATGAGGCAATTAGAGGATATGAAGCATACAGTTAACACTCCGTATCCATCTGCAGATCCAACCAGGGATTGAAGATACATTTTTAAAAATTGCATTTGCTTGGAGGTCTCTCTTTTGCATTGCTTTTTTGCTTTGGAGATAGGCTCTTGCTATGTAGTTGAGGAACTCAATCTTCTCCTGTCTCGGCCTCCCTAGTACTGGGGTTACATTTGCATGCCACCACACTTGGTTTAAAATTGCATCTGAAGGGCTGGCTCTATAACCCAGTCATAAGAATGCTGGCCTAGCCTGCTTGAAGCTCTGATTCCAATCCTCAGCACTAAAAAAGGAAAAAAAGAAAAAAGTTTGTGCCGAACATGTACAGACTCTTTTCTTGTCACTATTTCCTAAATGATATAGTATAACAACTACTTACATAGCATTTACACTGCATTAGGTATTACAGGTAATTTGCAAGTGACAAAGTAGTGGGAGGATGTCCCAGGCTATACGCAAAAGCTACGCTATTTTATATAAGGGGTTTGAGCACCTGCGGATTTTGGTGTCTGTGACCCTGGAGCCAATTCTCTGTGCATGCTGAGGGATGACAAGGTAACAGAATTCCAGGTACAACTGTCCAGAGGAGACCACGGAAGAGGAGACCACAGAAGAGGAGTGGGGTGGAGGGAAAAGGTGCAGGAACAGCATGCAGTACAAGCCCAGAAGTGAGGGTGTCAGAGAGCAGAAGACATGAATTGAGCATAAGGGACACATACACTAAGAGGGACTTGTGGGCTGCAGACACAGAGACAAGGTCGGAGCAGGTGACAGTGACTGGGAATGAAGAGCTCATGATATACAAAGACAAGCAGAAGCCAGTCCTACCTTAACTGGGCGTGAGAACCTGAGCAAGCCTGGTCAGATCCCAAACCACAGAATGCAGCACAGCATGTCACAGGCAGGATTAAGTGCTCCCTTGGTCAAACATGACCAGGTCCCACCCTTTACACGCCTACACTGAGATGTTGAAGCTCAGAGGAGTGGTGGAACAGCACCTCCTGCTTATGAGCAGTACCAGCCATGTAGCCTAAAAACCCTATCCCCAGACCAACGTGAGGGGCAATGGGAGGAAAAGGCAGAAATGTGTGACTTGGTTTCCCTTTCTGTGAAAGAAGTCAAGTTCCACAGCATCTCTGCCTCCCACCACCTCAGGGTGCATGAGAGGAGGCTGCATGAGATCATGTGCCTCTGCCATCTGAATGCCCCTTTGTTGGCCATGCGCTGGCACCAGCAGACAGTCAGGTGAGGGCCCGGCCCTTCCCAGGCTTGCAGCTCTGCTTGCTTTAGAATGAGACCCGCACACATGGTAAGAGCGAAGCCCAGCCTGCCAAGTACAGCTGACTCCATAGAAGAATGAGCAAACATCCTGTGTGATCACTGTAGAAAGATGAGGACATCTTATTATAAAAATTAAGAGCATTAAAATCACTTTTCTCAACATTCAGAAATATGGGAATGATATATAATTTATTAACAGAATGAAGAAGAAGATGAAGCAGTGTTTATAGCCTTTTATCTCTCAGCAACACTTTTCAGTTCATCACAGGGTCCTTCTTATGGTGCTATTTTGTTTTATTATTACTATTATCATATTTTTAATATTATATTATCATATTTTTTGAGATAGAGTCTTGCTATGAAGCCCCAGGCTGGCCTTGAACTTGCTTCAATCCTCCTATCTCAACCTCCCAAGTGCTGGCATTATAGGTGTGGGCCACCATGACGGACATGGTGTCATCTTAAATTGCTATCTATTTAGTGTTTCATTGTCATTCTTTTTAAGATCCAATCCCCTACTCTTCTATAATTCTTTTTCTCTATGCTAAACAACACTCTAATGAAAATCCTTGTAGAAAAAAAATCTTTTTATATTCTTATATACTTACAGTCAAAATTAAGGGATGTAATGGACCTTTTATATATTTTTGAGACAAGGTCTCACTATGTGGTTCAGGCTGGCCTTGAACTCATTATGTAGCCTCCAACTCATGCTGATCCTCTTGCCTCAGTTTCCCAAATGCTGGGATTATAGGTGTATGTCACCACATCCAGCTTAGTGGACTTTATAAGAATGCTGCTTTAATAAACGATTAAAAAAAATTTGGGTGTGGTGACACACATCTGTAACCACAAAATGTGGAAGGCTGAGGCAGAAGAATTATGAGTTTGAGGCCAGCCTGGGCTATCTACTAAATTCAAAGGCAGCTTGAACTACATAGTGAGATTCTGTCTCAAAACAAAACTAAACAAAATCAAATCCAAAATTTGGATATCTTATTTTATTTAATACAAATATCTGATAATGATATCGTGGTTATTTTTTAAGAATACTTTTCTTGGGACTGGGGAGATAGCTCAGTGGAATAAGTGCTTGCCTGGCAAGTGCAAGGCCCTGAGTTTGATCCCTGATACCACAAAAAAAAAAAAAAAAAAGAATACTTTTCTTGGGCCAGTCAAATAGCTCAGTGGATTAAAACGCCTGCAAGCAGGCACAGGGGCCAGGGCATTCCATCCATGGGCCTGCCATGCCAGCCTGGCCCTGCCCCAGGGCACGCTGAGACAGCAACTGAGACAGGGGTGCAGTGGCGCGTGCCTGAAATCCCAGCTCTTGGGAGGCTGTAAACAAGCAGATCACTATGAGTCTGATCTAGTAGTGAGACCTTGAACACCCTGTAGACCCTCCCCCCCCAAAAAAAGAATACTTTTCTTGTGGAGATGCAAATTGTACCATTTATGGATAAATAACATAATATCTGTGATCTGTTTCAAAATAATCTAGAGTACAGGAATTGGTGACAGTAGAGATAAAAATAGGAGTGAAAAATAATAATAATTATTAAAGCTGGATACTTTGAGATCCAATAAGTTATTCTATTTGTGTGTGTAGCTGGAACTTTCCATATTAAACATATCTAAGATACTATGACTACAATAATAACAAAAATATTCATTAAGCACCAAGGCACAGTGCCAGGCATGCAATTCTTTCAGCAGCCTCAAGAGGTAGAGTCATTAATCTCACATCTTTTTTATTTATTTCTTTATTTGAGACATGATCTCACTCTGTAGTGCAGGCAGGCCTTGAAGTCACTTATGCAGCTCAGGCTACGCTCAAACTCACTGTGATAACTGGGTGCTGGGATTACAGGTGTGCACCACCCACTGGCGAATATGATTTTTAAAAGCAAACACGTCTCTAGCATTTAGTCTAGTAAAGAATAGAATTTGAGCTTTTAAAAATTTAAATATTTAACTAAGTTAAGGCGTACAAATGCTGAATGATGTATCTATGGCCTCTGGAATGCCCTAAGAGAAGAAACACAAAGGAAATTTTGGAAGGGCAAAAGAAACTTCAAGGGAAAAAGATGGAGAATGATGATGAGAGTTGTGAGTCACATGAAAGGGGGAAGAGTGACAAAGCTGTGGCATTGGAAGAGTCAGCGAGCAACACTGAGGTAGAAGAACACACTGCAGGAAATGCAAGACACGACTGAGCACCACACGGCAAGGAACCAGGACAAGCATTTGACATATTGAGTACAAGCCACTGCTTTGAGGAGAAGGCTTCCCTCCACGCACGCACTGTGTATGGGCCACGCTCATTCTATGAAGAGCACTGCTTATCGAAAATCTTGCAGATAAGACATATGAGAACACAACTATGAAGACTAACTAAGAAGACTATTGTACATCATTATCATCATCATCGTGTGTGTGTGTGTGTGTGTGTGTGTGTGTGTGTGTGTTTTGCTGGAGATAGAACCCAGGGACTTGTGCATGCCCAGCAAGCACACTACTTCTTCTTCTTCTTTTTTTTGCAGAACTAGGGATTGAACTCAGGCCCTTGCACTTGCCAGAGAAGCGCTTATTCCACTGAGCCATCTCCCTGGCCCCAAAGCACACTACTTCTGAACTAACTTTCCAGCTCCAAAAACAGCTTTAACATCAATGGTGCCTAAGTTAAATTACCTCCTGGAAACAAGTCATGTTTACTTTTCTAATCCAAGTCCAGATTTGCCACTTGGTCTTACCACAAACTGAAATTCATGTATCCATTAATAAA